TCCTCTACGTAAAGATGAAACTCATGTTCTATGGTTGAGTAACAATAAAAAGAATGTGATCATAAGTCATAGGACATTTCTCCCAATTGTTCATCCTTATCGAAAGAAGAAAAAAACTTTCAATGGAAAATCAGATACTCGAGTAGCTTGTTTGCCTTTAACTGGACATGCGGTTTATGAACGTGTTAAAAATGTTGATGCTGCTTTTGGCAAAACTTGTAAGACTACCATATTGGGAGCATTTAGCAGTTAGACACCGTCTTGATGTGATGCATATTAAGAAGAATGTTTGTGACAGCATTATTGGAACATTGTTGAACATTCAGGGAAAGACAAAAGATGGTATTAAAGCTAGAAAGGATATGGTTGAAATGAGAATACAGGAGAAGTTAGCACCACAAGTTTTTGTACCTGTTTAAATGGTGTCAAGGTTCCCTCTGGTTATTCATCGAATATTAAAAAACTTGTGTTAATGAAAGACTTTAAATTGGTTGGCATAAAGTCTCATGATTGTCATGTATTAATGCCGCACATGTTACCTGTTGCTACTCCGGATATTTTAAACCGAAACATGTTAGGCAAGCTATAACAAAACTTTTTTTCTTTTTCAATGCTATTTGTAGTAAAGTTGTTGATGTAGATGTGTTAGATGCTTTGCATGCGGATGTGATTGTTAGTTTGTGTCAAAATAAGCAAATTAGATATCAAAGTGCTGAGATATCTGCTACTGCTACACGATCCCCAATTGTTGGTGAAAATGTCTTTATACTTTTGGGTAAATACTGCAAGCTGCTTGTCAAAGCGTTGACACCATTTCCTGTTGAAAAAGAGTACATTGATTTGGATATAGATCATACGGTCTTCTATCATGCACACGTGAAGGTGTTTATGTGATGATGGAGGATATACATGATTTGTTGACAATGAATTGACTCGATGTCTCGATTATTCAAGTGTTTATGTTGTAAGTTTCAAATTGTTCATGTGTTTTATATACATTCTTTTTTTTTTTATGTTTATTGAAATTTCTTATTTGTTATTTTTCAAGTTTTTGAATAAGTTGTGTAAGCAGTTTGGAGTGACATCTATCGAGTTTGCATGTCCAACACAAATTTCAGCGGATATGGTTAATATAAATTGTCCTACAGTTACATCATATCTCATTCATGTCATGGACGAACACAGTGATCAGCAATTCATATTGGCACCGTATCAACAAGAGTAAGTCTTTTACTTTACTAATTTATATAACTTAATAACTTTATTTGAAGTGTTTGATATGTGTGTGTGTGATCATCATTGGTTACTGATCGTGATTTGCACACGTTCAAAAATTGTGTATAGTATGTGTTTGATCCTTTGACATTTGAGTGCACCATTGATGTCAAAGCTTTTGTGAATATGTAAGTAAAAACCTTATTATTAATATATGTATTTTAAATGTTATTATGTTATTTATAAATTGATATAAATGTTTATTATTAATATAGGACATTTCGATCTGTACTTGCAAGTAGACGAGGAACTAGCAGAACTATTAATTGGAAGGAATGCAAAGTATGAAGTTAAAATTAAAGTTTTGATATGATATTAACCTTAGTTTTTATTTAGTGTTTTAATATGATATTACCATGAATTAATATATATATATATATATATATATATATATATATATATATATATATATATATTATAGTATCCACAACAATCGGTAAGCGTTGAATGTGGATACTATGTACTGTGATACATGTACTACATTATTACTAAGCATTCAATGGCTGATTGTTTAGATGAGGTAAGTAATTTAAATAGAACTATATGTATAGTTAAATTATAATTTATCAATTAACATGTTTACTAATTTGATTAATTATAATTTTTTTGTAGGCATTTGAAGAAGCACCATAATTCATGAACGAAATAGATGAAGTTCGAGAGTTTTGGACGAAATACTTTATAGAAGAGTGTGTGTAATTTTATATGGTTTAAACATTATCTTTATTATTATTAACTTATGTTTATATTTTGTTAAAGAATTGTATATCTTGATATCAATTTTTAAATGTGTTGATTGTTATTATTGTGTTGATAGTATAAGTATATTGTAGTGATCTATTGTGTTGATTATTAATTGTGAAGTATATATAGTTTACAAACTATATTGTGATGATGTTTGTGTTTATAGTTATTAGTATTGGTTTGAAAATCATTATAAATAAATAGTTTAATTTGTTGTTATTTGTTTTGTAAATTTTTGTGTTGATTTGGTGGTTTTGGAAAAAATTTGTACAGGTTTTGAATAAATAAATTTTGGTAGTTTTCAAAATTTAAAAATAAATAAATATTTCCGCGACACCCTATGTGGAGAGGGTGTCGCAGAAAGTTATTATTTAAAAAAAAAAAAAAAAGAAAAAAAAAAGAGTTTCCGCGACACCCTCTTTTCAGTAGGTGTCGCGAAAAGTCATAAAAAAACAAAAACAAAAAAAAAAACACTTTTCGCGACGCCCGATACAGAGCGGGTGTCGCGGAAAGTGTTTATTAAAAATAATAATAATAATAATTCGTATGCTTTTCACGAAAACATACACTTTTTCAATCACCCCCATCCGCTACACTTGTATAGGTGTAGCCGATGTGCTTCTTTGTACTAGTGTGGTTAACACAATTATATATATATATATATATATATATATATATATATATATATATATATATATATATATATATATATATATATATATATGAATGAGAATTAAAATTGAATAAATATAAATACACAATAACCAACAACTATTAAGGGTAAATTTGAATTTTAAATGAAAATGCAATAAGCTAATATAAAAAGCTACTCCAAGAAACTTTTTCATTTCAACTTATTGGCATTAATAAGTAAAGTCAAATAGTTGTTTACAAACATTCATTTTAGTTATTTGACCAAGTCAAACAGTTAAAGTTAATCAAACATGTCAAATCTTGACTGATAAGTCATTATCCCAACATTCATTTAGTCCCTTAGGGAATACATCTACACCGTACATAATTCAGAAACTAAATCTATATGCACCGACCACAAGTAAGAAATTAAAAATGCTATTTCTTCTTAGAAATATTTTTAGTAGAGTTAATACTCATTTTGACGTCTCAACTATTAACTATTACTTAATTTAGTTACTGACGTTAAAAATGGCCTAATTTGATCCTCTAATTTGTAAAATCGTACTCAATTTGGCCCTCCGTTACAAAATTCATCCAAATGCCGTTAATTTGAAGGCCACAAGTAACGCAATTTTTCCCTTCAAAATTCAAATAGCTGAAGGGTTGAGAAAGTGGGTGAAAAAATAGTTGATGGACCATTTTTCCCTTTAAATTAACGGTATTTGGATGAATTTTGTAATAATAGACCAAATTAAGTGTGATTTTAGTTTTTACAAGTCTGAACTAAATTTGATAATTTTCAAAACCAAGAACTAAATTAAGTAATACTCAATAGTCGAGGGATCAAAATGAATTTTAATTCTTTTTAGTATGTAACACGAGTTGTCACAAAAACCTGTATGCAATTTTGATATAATTTCATTTGGGTTAAATCAAAGAAGAAAATTCAAATTCAAACAAGATATATTCCTATATATAAACTGGGTTGCAATTATTATTATTATTATTATTATTATTATTATAATAATAATAATAATAATAATAATAATAATAATAATAATAAATGAAGAAAAAAGTAGAGTAGATGGGGTGGTTTTGTTAATACAAAAGAAGGAAAAGTGCAAAGAATTGGGCATGTGCAATATCGTGGTGGGGTGAGGCTGCACGTGAAAATGTAAGCAAATGAGGGGCGGCCGTTGCTTGTTAGACTCGCTATTTTTTTATTTTTTTATTTTTATTTTTTGGCGTTTTGTGACAATACTTTTTATATATATATAACGCATTTATATCCCACCATATATGACTAATCTAATGAAATTTTAATGAGGTCCATATTTGAGATAATTCTCACAACATCATTATTGCATATACATAAGTTAAATTCTCAACATCATTTAAAATATGACAACACTTTAAATTTCGATCTTGTACCATTTTTCCTTGTAATACCTTTTCTTTTCTACTATCATATCTCATAGTATATTTTATAAGTTGAATAATAAATATTAAGAGAAATTTTAATCTTTATGTTAGCTTTGAATTTAAATGTAACTATGGAATATTGAGACACCAAGTTTGACCAAATTACTTTTTAAAAAAAAAAAAATTATAGTATCGAGAAACATGTCTTTTCCACGACACAACACTGAACACATAGCTAATTTAACTTAAATTTTATATTAAGTACGTAATTAATTTTTATTAAAAATGCATTTTTATTTATTTACTATTAGGCTAACCAATTCAATTCTTGTATTGTTTTTTAAAGAGTTACTAATAAAGATAATTATAAATTTTAGCGATTAAAACTATATTAAGTTTGTTTACATGTCATTGACACACATAATAGACTAGGGTCACTAGACAAACTACATTATTTTTCATTAATTGGAAAAACAACTCATTTTTGGCTTTAACTTTCAAGCACACAATTAATTCCAAATTTTCAATATTATTTGAAAAATATATATTTATCTAGATTAAATTAATTCTTATGTTTTAAATGAGTTATAATTAAGTGAGCAACCAAATCATTTTTTCTTTGGATAAAAGGAAAAAGAAAATTAAAGCACCTAAGGCTGGCTCATTTTTTCAGTTCCAATCAAAGCTTTTAAAATAACACCAATACTCAAATAGGTATGTAAGATTTAAGTATTTTACAAGTATTTTGCACATAATATATAAACAAATAATTAGCTGGCATGTTGGATTAGTCAACCAAATAATTGATGAATAAACCAATAAATAAGATATTGTTAACCACAAATATAAATTTAAAAAAAAAAAAAAAAAAAAAAAAAAAGAAGAAGAAGAAGAAGAAGGTAGTGGCTAAAATGGAGGGAATATGGGGAGATCAAACGTGGAAAAGGGATTATGTATACAATAAAATAAAAGAAAATAAAATAAAAAATACAAGAAAATAAAAGAACTCTCAATTATTAACAAAAGATTCTAAAAATATAAAAATAAAAAATATAACACCTCAGCGCAGTCACGAGCCACTTAGCCAAGGCTTATGACTGTTCTGAGCCAAGCCGGTCGGGATTAGCCGGTAGTCCGACTCCGGCACCGTTGAGAAGCCCTGTGAGAACGCTCATGGCTCTAACTTGCATCTCCAGAGCTGCAATATAATCAGTAGCTTCTTCTAGAAGATTCGGGAACGAGAGTTTCCGGCAACCGGGAACTAACCGCCCGAGAACTCGGGCCTTCCTTTGCAGCGGCGGCAACCTCTTCTTAGTCGCCGGTTTCTTCGGCCGGATATCGCCGGCGGCTACCACCTTGGCTCTCTTATGCTTTTTGTTGATCTGTCTGAGTCTCAAACTAAGCCGTCCGGTGAGAATCGCTCTGCTCCAGCGTGTCTTCCCCTTGGCGGCGACGGCGAGGACCTTGTCCGCAGTCTCCCGAACAGTGCGGCCAGCAACAGCGGGAGATGGCGCCTCATTTCTCCGGCGGACCTGACGGAGGGCCTCCAGAAGCTTCGACGAGTAGATCTGCTGCTCGTCCTGGGTCCTCCACCTGAGTACATCGACGCCGGTAGGTTGCGGCTGATTCTGGTCAGACTCGCCGATTTTTCTCCGCTTTTTCCGCGATCGGTTGGAGTTGACATCGGGATTCGCTATCGAAGACGATAACTCCATCATTCTATCAATCAGTCAAGTTTATATGCACAGTACTCTGCCTCTCTTCGTGGTATTGCAGGTTGAGAGAAGGATATATTGAAGATTCAAATGCTCCTGCAAATCAAAAGATGAGAATGTATTAGATTAGATTCTTTGCAGCTTTTCTTCACTCATGATTCTATAGAATAGAATTACTATCATACCTAATCAAGCAATCAAACACACATACTTTTCATATCCCTACATACGCACACGATTAATCAATCTTCTTCAAAGAGAGAAGATTTTGTTCATCATGAAGTAAATATACCTTGCTTTGTTTACTCCGGCAGCGGCGGAATAGGTGGTGGCTGCGCCGGTTGCGAATTGAGTAAAGGAAGGCTTGAACTGAAGAGAGAGAGAATGAGAGAGAGAGAGACGAATGGTGCGTTTTTGTAGTGGAAAAGAGGAGAGAGGGAGAGATAGAGAGAAGAACGGAGCAACCGTCCCACGCGTCCACCTTTTATTGCCCCCTCCTTTTCGGCCCTGCTTTCGTGCTTCCATTTTTTGTTTTTCTTGTTTCCACCCCTCTAAATTATATATTTCATTATTTGACCCTAATATTATTTGTAAATTCTAGGGATGTTAATTGCATTAACCGCCAAGCACCATGTGTTCAGATGACATGTAGTGACAATTCCCATGTGGGAGGTAAAGCCTCAATGAAGCCGTATACATAGGACCATGGTCATTAAATGAAACTGTATACTTTAATTTAGTATTGCTATAATGAAATTAATGTGTAGAAAATGAAGCTAAAAAATAAAGCAATATTGTCAAATGAAATTAAACTCTAATTATTAATTAGAATAATACTTACTTCATAGCATATACTATTACATGACCATGGTCCACAGTAAAATTTGCCAAATTTGTTACTCTAACCCTAAAACATTATATTATTGCACTTATTTGATGGGTTTAATTCGATTTTTTTATGTTCTAAAATTAACCTTGAACATTTTTATTTTTAATAAATTAACAGTTTTATATTAATAAAATATAATCTTAAAATCAAGATTATGTTGTCTAATGGCATTCAGGTTGGACTCTCATTTAGAAGGTTGTGAGTTCGAGCCTTTAGTGAAGGTGTTTTAGGATTTTTTGAGTATTATTGACTCTGTTAGAATGCAATATATGTCCTTACATACTTTCTCAACCTATTGAAGCACAAAAAGTCAATGCCTGGAGTTCGAACTCCAATTTTCAAACATAATCTTAAAAACATAAGTTAATCAATCTAAATCGCCAATTTTCAAACTCCAACTCACAAACATAATGCAAGTATGCAACAATTAATTGGAAAAGACATTTCTTTTATACCTAAAATATTAAATATTAAATTAAATTTAAATATAAAGCAAGAGCATAAAATACATATAATTCTCAAATGCAGAATTGTCAATAGAGTGGAAGCAAACCCAAATTATCAAATTATTGTGGGTTTGCGGAAGTGAAGAATGAGGACAAGGCTAGGGATTTGTTTTAGAGATTTTGATCTTTTAATTTTAATTTGGATATTACTATTTTATTTTAAGTAATCAGAGTGTGGCTTTTTTCAATCTT